AAGGATACCCTGCGACAAATTTGACACTGATTGGCCAAGGGGTTCTTGAGTTATGGCCCATATTCTAAAAAGTTAACGCACACCGCACACCGCACACCGCACGACGCACACCGCACAAATGGCCATAGCATTAGCTCTTTGAGCCTTTGGCTCAGAAGAGCTAAACAGGAAACATCCAAGTAGCAGGAAATATGACTATTATTTTTTGGCCCTATCTTTAATTATCTAAAACCAAGATCTTTAATCATACAGCTGTTCTGGTAGTGTGCTGTTCTTTCCATAGAATCGATGCAAATTTGGACTAAGTTACATGAGTGAGGATCATTGTAATCATACCAGTCCTTCAAAATTTAAATTCATTTCAATTACAATGAAAATGTGTCAGGTTATCGAAGTAAATTAAATACAGTATTCAGGTCTTTGTTGATAGTATGTATCTCAACTTGTTTCCTGCAAAAAATTGATCAGAGCTTTGCAATAAAAACAACAGATACATTAAATAATGGAAACTCTTGGAAATCATGTGCACCATTTAAATACAAAAAAAAAATCTTTACCTTCACTATTACAAGCTGTTGGTTTTCCTCCTCCTCCACAGAGTCAGAAATCCCAAGTGGCTCCTTCTTTACTACAACCAAGAGGAGTAATTTGTAAGAATGCTACAACTTCTTTTGTAAAAAGAAATCCGTCAGGTGCTAAAACATATAAACTGAATAGTTCTAGGTTGAGGGAGATAACTCTTATGTTTTAAATGTCCAATAATGATCATAGGGGTCCAGGCATGATGCAAATAGTTGATTTAGATAATAATGGCTAATAAAATAAACTGTAACAATGCTTTAAGTTCTTTTTGTAAAAAGATTTCATCAGGTGCTCAAACATATATTAAAACTGAAAAGTTCCAGGTTGAGGGAGATAACTCTACTGTTTTATATATAATGTCCAATAATGATCATAGGGGTCCAGGCATGATGCAAATAGTTGATTTAGATAATAATGGCTATGAAAATAAACTATAAGAATGCTTTAATTTCTTTTTGTAAAAAGACTTCCTCCAGGTGCTCAAACATATGTTTTAAATGTCCAAAAATGAGCATAGGGGTCCAAGCACATCGCAAATAGTTGATGCAACTTAGTATAGCTATTAAAATACTGTAGAAGTACTTATTTCCATATGGAATTAATTTACGCTTTGTATGCGGTCACAAATTTTCCACAGAAATTTGTCCAAGCATACTTAATGAAAATGTAAGGCATATGGTGACAGTATAAGAAATCTGTGTAATATACCCATGGATTACACAGAAATTGAGATTCCGTGGAATTATGACCCCGTGGAAAAAGGTATGTCTACTGTAAACTGTAAGAATGCTTTAAGTTGAATCAATCATGTCAACTGTCACTGAACATGCTGAAGGGTACTAGTAATAGGGGAACCTTGGAGAGTCTAGCAGCTACAAGTACACACAGTGTCATGTAGGATTTAGTATATGTTTGACCCAGGTCCTGTTAGTGTTATAAGTCTATACATGTAACATAGTTTGGCCTAATTCCTAATTATTTACTGACAGACAGATGGACAGACGGGCAGCTAGAAAGACGGACAGTCAATGGACACCTTATTATCACATAAGCTGTTCTGTTTTCTGACTAGTAGAGCTAAAAACATAAAACTGGGTTTGGGAATGCCTAACAACATTAACAATTTTAAAAGAGTTTTCGTATTCAATATATTTGTGTTCAACAGTATTAGAGGTATCTTCATTTACATATAATTATACTCACTAGTGGTCTCAGTATCAAATCTGTAGTTTTCAGTATAAGGAAACTCTGATGTCATGACCTTGTTATGTAGCTCTGACATCATAAACAAATTATTGCTTTAGTCTGAAACCTGCAAAAAAGTAAACAAATAATTAATTGGCATTATTCTCAAAAAAAAAGACATATCTATCATAAACTGTAAAATAACATATTTTCATGTGATCAAATTTTCGTGGTTTGAGTAAAAACTCTTGGCTCATGGAGATTTGAATTTGTGGATGAAAAATTGTTGAGTAGTTATGTATTTTTTATTTTACATTTTATGGTGGACATGAATTCATGGGTCTCTTCATACCTAAAAAACAACGAAAATTAACCCCCTAAGAAATTTTGTGATTTCACAGTATTCATTTAATATCATGATTATGTACTTGAAAATTCTAGTGATACCATTTATTTTACATTAACATCATCTAACCTTAAAAATGCTCATAGACAAACAATTATCTTAAAGACTCTAAACATTCAATTTACAACAGGGAAAAGGGGGAAAACCTCTCAGGGCTCACCAGAAACATACTTTTAAAGTTTTTCCTACACGTCTTTGAAAAACTTCAATTTCTTTTGCGGCCCCGCCCAACCCCCGGGGGACCATGATTTTAATAATTTAAATCTATACTACCCAAGGTTGTTTCCAAATAGGTTTCAGCTTTTCTGGCCCAGTGGTTCTTCATCAGAAGATTTTTAAAGTTTTTTTGTATTTATTTCTACCAGTATGTACCGGTAAAACTTTATTTTCTTATTGCAGCCCGGCCCTACCCCCTGGGTCATGATTTGAACAATTTAAAATCTCTACTACCAGTAGATGCTTCCATATAAGTTTCAGAGTTTTTGGCCCAGTGGTTCTTAAGAAGAAGATTTTTAATGACCCCACCCTATTTTTCTCTTTCCTTCATTATCTCCCCTTGTAAAGGGACTTGGCCATTTATTTTTACAATTTAAACTCCCCCTTACCCAAGAATGCTCCACGGTTCTGGATCATTTCGGTTACCCGTGACAGCATATAAGTTGAGATAACTGATACAGGATACCTCTGATAAATTTGAAACTCATAATTTTCATAGAGTGATCACTTCAACTTATTTGTGGAAAAGGGCAATTATAAGCACAGTGATTAGAGAATTTACTTAGAGTTACATGTTTGAATCCTGCTAGTTGCCTGTCTGATGCAGTGGTTAAAGTGCTGCTCTAGAGTTGCAAAGTAAGGAGTTGATCATTACGTCTAGGGTTCAAATCCTACTACGAGACATGAGGTTCCTCCGATGAGCCTGCATAAACCCAGGTCCTATGTCGCAGTCAAGGTGCTGGCACAAAAACATCCCTCCCTGCTCAATGACCCAAAGTGCCAAGTATAAAGGAGAATATTTGCAGCTCTCCATATGAGTGAAAAATTCTCAAGACAGATATCATACAATATACATTCAATGAATCGAATCCCACTGCAGGACATGGAGATTGGTTCCTCGAATGAGACTGCATAAACAGAGGTCCAGTTTCGTAGTAGGTGCTGGCACAAAGAAGATCCCTCACTGCTTAATCATGTTAATGGGGGTGAAACACCTTGACCTTCACAGTTTAATACTTATCATATAATTTTGTCTCGGTAGGGTTATTTTCAATATGATACATTTTGACAAAAGAAAACAAATTTAACTGCTGTTTTCTGCTTTTATCCACTTAATCTAGTCACATTATTTATACTCAAAATGATGTAACGTGAAAAAAAATTACTTGAATAGATCTATTAAAAATATTTTTACAAACTATCAGTCAACAAAAATTTATGTTAATTAGTACTTAAAATTTTATCCCTATCCGAAAATTCATTAAAAGGAATCCCACAACTAAAGATTTTGTACTGTGTATTGATACTGCAGTGAACTGTTTCACTCCTAATGCTTAATGGTGCCCCCCCCCCCCCCCCCCCCCCCCCCCCCCCCCCAAAAAAAAAATCTTTAATTTGTAGCTTTCAAAGAAAGCAAATTGAGAGGGCTGGGTAGTTGTCTATTTTTTAAATTAGATTATTTTGACCTCCTTTAGACAAGTTAGAAGAAGAGCTCCATATAAAGAAATATTTACATTTGCAAATGATTTCCTTTATGTAACACTACTGAAAGCAATTCAGATCTATAACTGTATAAATACTGGTACTAGGTCAAGAGGTCATAGATGTGTGTATGCAGGGCTCTCACACCACTTTTTGGGACTTGCTTTTCTAGCATTTTGACATCAATTTAACTCTGGTTTTGAATAAACAGTTAAACAGAACAAACATGGGTACGTAGGCTATTTATGAAAGTACATTAGTTTTGTCATTATCACTACTTTGAGTGTTGATATTGCGGTTATATGTCTTTGTGAGTGACAGTCACGAGTCACATAGTCCCGAATTTCCTAGATCACATGGACAACTTTGCTTACCTCGAGACTGAACATGCCAAAGCGTGGGTATGTTTCTAGGTGCAGCTTACTAATGTTTAAATGAAATGTCTATTTTTGAAACCAAAATGATGTTTTTTGTCAAAACTACATGACAAGATACTCTGCACTCATAGTTAGTTCACATTTTTGTAAAAACAATAACCTGGTTCCCCGAATCCCAAATGCATTTGGCGAGAACTAATAAAATAGTAGTACAGTTTCACTTTCATTTGCAAGTGTGCTTTGTTTTGAGTTTTTTTTGCGATTAAGTTTCATGGACTTTTATTTTTTAATTAATATTTTGCTATGGAAATTGGGAAATTTACACCTTTCTTTTAGGAAAAAAGGTACCTTTTTTGCATTGGGAACAGGGCCGAATATTGGCCCCAGATTTAGAGAATCGAGAGCCCTGGCATATGGATAAATATTCAACATAATTTCTCAATGAAGGGTCGACCCACATTTAGTGGATTACATTCATGCCCTTGGGTTTGAAATATTATGGATTTCACATGTTAAAAGTCACCCGGGCAAATAAAAAGTATGAATAAGTCAGAAATGTAAATATAAGTGATAAGGTATCATTTAAAAACATCTATTGGGCTATAAATATTGGATGGTACAAGATCAAATTCATAAAGCCCTTTGGGCTATTGAAAATATTTCTTTCATTTGAGGAATGAATTAGTCAGAAATCATTTTCTACTTGGTGTGATAATGAATTACTTTTCGGAATTACAAGGTTTTCATTCGAATATGTTGAATATCACGTGGTTCTTTAGAACTGGTCTCATTAGCAAGGCTATATAAGAGGTAAATAGTGGGTCAAATACCAGTTTAGGACGACACGTAGAGCACGGTAAAGTTTAAATTTTATCATGTTTCATTCAATCCAATATAAACATATATATACAAATTGATTTTCATCTTTTGCATATGTTATGTACACTATACAAATAAAGCTACTGCGTGTCGTTGCTATGTCCAAATGGTGTGTTTGTTGTTTATTGTACTTTCATTTGAAAGTAATGAACGGATTTAGCATGTTTAGAGTAGTCTAAGAATAGATGTTTGAACATTTATTTTTTAAATAAAAAGGTGATGGAATTTGAAAAATGAAATATATGAAATTCTTCTTTGATGTTGAATACTGGTTGACAGCTAATTTGTTTAAGATATCTGATATCATGTCTTAAAAAGTAAATTATATCTCATATACTAAGTGATGGTTTATTTGTTGACCTCATGCAGCCTCCTTAAGCAGGGATCAACACTAACTTTAAAATATAGTTGTCAGCAGGGCTAGCCATTTCTAATTTCTACTTAAGCCCTTTTCATGTATTACTTGTCCAACAGCTGAAGGCTGGTGGCTAATTTGCGAAGGGACGAGGGGGATAGGTGCAGGAGGTGGTTTCCCCCTCCTGCTAGTGGGGGTACGGAGGGCCTCCCCCTGGAAATTTTGAAAAAATCCTGCATTCTGACTGTATTTTGGGTAAAAATTATATGTCACTCTATGATAGTACCTAGAATTTTTTTCTATTAGAAAAATTCCATATTTATAATCATTACATTTTGACTTACAAAAATAATAATTATAACTAGATGAGATCTCATTGCGAGCAACGAGTAGGTCTTCCGTTGAATTTCTCGATAAGATGAGATGTGATTTTGACTGAGATATTCGTTAAGAGAGAATGACATTAAGTTTTTCTTCATTAATTTTAAAGTTTCTGTTTTTATCACGATATTCTGAACATCTTTTGTTCAATATGGCTTATAAGAATACTCCCTCTTTTCGAAACGTAATGCATAAAAAATATATCATTTTGGCCCCTCAATGCAACCACTTATTACGTACATATGATCAAAATTTTATAAGATATTGTTGCAATCGTTAAGATGAATATCTGTGTTTCTCATGATGGATACTAATCAAAAAATATTGATCAATAAAGAGTTATAGATAAAAAAACTTTTGGCCCCTTTGAACCCCTAATTTGAGGGATCAGCCCCATTTTCTTGATATCAAATGAAAGGTCTTGTGATTTCAAAGATTTTTTGTTCAACACTTATTCAGAGATTTCTATTCGTTGTGGAGATATGATACATAGAAATATTTAGGGGCCACTCCTACAAGTCCTTAATGGGGCCGTTTTACAAAAATTCGAAGTATGCATATTGTTAAGAATATTATCCTGACCATCTTTTGTTCAATATTGCTTATCAAAATATTCTCCCTTTTCGAGATATAAAGTGTCAAAGATTTGACATTCTGGCCCCTTGTGACCCCTAATTACGTAACATATGATAAAAATTGTATCATATATTGTTGCATATCGTTAAGATAAATACTTTTGCTTCAGTAATGTATAACAAAATATTGATCAATAGAGAGTTATAGATAAGAGACTTTTGGCCCCTCTGAGCCCCTAATTTGAGGGGTCAACCCCATTTTCTTGAAAGCAAATGAAAGGTCTTGTAATTTTGAAGCTTTTTTCTTCAACACTTATTCAGAGATTTCTATTCGTTGTGGAGATATGCTAAATAGAAATATTTAGGGGCCACTCCGGACAAGTCCCTAATGGGACCGTTTTACAAAAATTCAAAGTATGCATATTGTTTAAAACATTATTCTGAACATCTTTTGTTCAATATTGCTTATCAAAATATTCCCCCTTTTTCAGATATAAAGCGTCAAAGATTTGACATTCTGGCCCCTTGTGACCCCTAATTACGCAAGATATGCATAAAAGTTTATAATATATTGTTCCAAATGGTCTAAAATTAAAAAATATCGAAAAATCGAGCAGAAAAAATGATAAAATTTTTTGGTCATACGGGGGATCGAACCCCGGTCGCCCGCGTGACAATCCAACGCGCTAACCATTTGGCCATTGAAATCGCCGCTTCGTGTTTTTAAATGCAAATATCTCAAGATTGGCTTTTTCGATTTTCAAACAAATTACATATTACGCTTCTGCAAAAGGGTCTCTTTTCAAATCAAAATTAAAAATATTAAAAATCAAAAGTTGAAAAATTGTGTTTTTTAAATTCGCTTCCGGTAGCGACCGGAAGTATTGACATCGCACGAAAAGGTGATTCTGCAACGCTATAAGTCATGAACTATCATCTCCAAATAGTCTCCAGTTGATATCTTAAGCAGTTTTTGCTAGGAAGTTAAGACAAAATTGCAATTTAAAATCAGAAAATTGTCCATATCTCACGACCAGAAGTGATGTCATAAAAACGCTTAAAAACCTATCAAGACCGATTGATAAGCTATAACATGTGGAAATTTTATGTAAATCTGCCAAGCCGTTTCTGAGAAATCGCGTGCACAAAATCGGTTGGAAAAAAAAATAATAATAATAGGGAAAAAGAAACCGAAGAATAACAAGAAGGTCTTCCGCAGGAGACGGAAGACCTTAATGATAAAACATGTTTGAAAATAAATATAACAATTATCAGGTACTGTAAACCAACTTTTATTCGCGTGCGAGAAATTTTCGCGAGGTTCGCGAGAGCCTTGTCATCGCGAATATTTCTCGCCGCGAACGGGTCCTTAAAGTCTCTTTTTCTATTAAAACAGTTCCAAAAACGACTTGATCGCGAAAATTAATCGTCGCGAACTAGTTTACACACGGTAAATCGCGAAATAAAGTCGTCGCGAATAAAAGTTGGTTTACAGTATATGTGTGTAAATTATACCGGTAATTACTTTCTTGCTCTTAGTGAGTAATTGGTAAAATTTACTGTAGCCCTGCAGGGCAAGTTTAAAGCTTAATTTGGTAGCCCCAACTCAGTATTCAGTTGTTCTGGGCCAGCGATATTGCCAAACCCTGAGCCTTAAGATGAATGGATATAATTCTACAGTTTAAAAAATTTGAATATAAGACAACCAATTTACAATATTTACATTTGCAAATTTTTTCCTTTATATAACACTACTGAAAGCAATGTGTATCTATAACTGTATAAATACAGGTAAGGGTCAAGAGGTCATAGATGTGCATATGGATAATCGTTTGACGTAATTTCTCAGTGACGTCATAAAGGGTTGACGCGCATTCAGTAGATTACATACTTGCCGTTGGGTTTGAAAAATAACGCATTTCATACGTTAAAAGTCAAAATCAGGCAAATATAAAGTATGAATAAGTCACAAATGTAAATATAAGTAATAAGGTATCATTTAAAAACATCTATCGGGCTTATAAATACGGGTTAGTACGAGATTAAATTCATCATAAAGCCCTTTGGGCTTTATGGAATTTAATCTCGTGACCCCCTTATTTATATCCCGAGAGATGTTTAAAAATGATACCTTATTTCTTAATAACAAATGATATGAGAGTTGATAAGATAAGCATGATAAGGACTATTATTTTGTACATGTGTACATATATATGTGAAAAATAGCAAACACCTCCATTATTCAGTCTTGAAGCACTATATTATTACACATCAGCCCCAATACCACGAAAACTCGTGGTTCGAAGGTTAATATATGGGGTGTCCTTGTCCTATAAGAATCACAGGCACCTGAAGTATGGATAATACCCCCCCTTTTTTTTTAAATGAAAAAAAAATATAAGAATGTATAATACCTTGAAAATATTAAATTTCCCCGTCAAACACATCTATGTGTTGTTATACGCAAGCAGATTGTACTTTTTCTCACGTTTAAAGAATGGCCTTATTCGGTATAATAAAAGAACAAAAGTTGTAAACAAACGGGGGTTCCTCGCTTCGAGACAGATTTCCAAGGTAATAACAGTGTTACCTATCATAATTTTGCAAACACTCTGTCCGGGAGATGTTTTTCTACAAAACTATTTAACCTAAACCTGCGATTGATGGTTAATATGCCGTAATCGGACGCTTTATTAATCGGATACATAAAATTTTCTCCATTGGCAGCGTTAAAGGAGGTTTTGGAGCTGATTTTCTGTTTCGCCTTATCTGATTGGTTAGATACTTAAACTGTATTGCAATCAACCAATCAGATAAGGCGAAACAGAAAAGCAGCTCCAAAACCTCCTTTAACGCTGCCAATGGAGAAAATTTTATGTATCCGATTAATAAAGCGTCCGATTACGGCAATTCAAACGCTAAGAGCGGGGTTTAGGTTTAAGAAACTAGTAAAAGAACATCTCCCGGACAGAGTGTTTGCAAAATTATGATAGATAACACTGTTATTACCTTGGAAATCTGTCTCGAAGCGAGCAACCCCCCGTTTGTTTACAACTTTTGTTTCTTACCTTGTGTATTTTTATTATACCGAATAAAGCCATTCTTTAAACGTGAGAAAAAGTACAATCTGCTTGCATATAAGAACATATAGATGTGTTTGACGGGGAAATTTTATATTTTCGAGGTATTATACATTCTTATATTTTTTTTTCATTTAAAAAAAAGGGGGGGGTATTATCCATACTTCAGGTGCCTGTGATAAGAATCTACCCTCCGACCCTGGACTCACACCACATGACGTCTTTCTAGCCTTTTGCAGTTGTCCCTTATCTTTTTATACGGAACATGTTTCTGTAAGGACTGATGGAATAAACATATTAAACAGATGATATAAACTTAATATCATATGATTACCTTCACCGTCTGATCTGGCTTTGTGTATGCTGTATGCACCGTCCGATCTGGCTTTGTGTACAAAGTATGTAAATCAAAATGCCGAGCCCGATCATAATGAATCCCCAGTGCGTCGATTTACCCAAAAGGACCCAAAAGAACCCAAAAGGAACCCAAAGGGACCCGAAAGGAAATTAAGAACAAAAGACTTGAAATAAAGAACATAAATGGATTACATAATAAATACTTTTATATTTTATTAAAACTAAAACTAGTTTTTTGAGGTGAAAGTGTCTGTTTGGGGTAGGGGTGGGAGGTCCCCCACCGACCCCCCCACCCCATCCACCCCCGATATCATATGCCTAGAACATGTCATAAAATAAAACTTTTTTTCACTTATTAAATATGATATAGTAAGATGTGATAAAACAGAAGAGAAATAAAATAATACTTTGTTAATTTCAGCTAAAAGAAATCAAAGCATATCTGACCATATTTAGTGTTTGATATGCTATGAAAGTCTTATGTTATTGAAAAGTTGCAACAAGATAAAATGTATGTATAATCGTGGTCTCTTAGTTAGTAGCCAAGATTTGATCTGAAACAAATGAAATGTCTTGGATGTAGCACCGACAGTGTGATTACGGGACGCAGTTTTATTTCATGAAAAATATTTTTGCACGGTATATCTTTCAAAATGACGCTTTAGCCATTGTGCTTTTTGTTGTTCCAACCTTTTTCGTGCAAAATGACGAAAGTTTTTTGCTGTATCAAGCAGGAAATACCTGCCATAAACATATAGTCCTCTACGTATATATTTAGACATAACGAGGGTATTTAAATGCCCTTCTCAATATTTGGGAATAATCGCGAGTTTCTGCAACACCCTCTTTTATTGTCAGTTATATGTCAAAGGTACTTGGACACAGATTTGAAGTTTAATAATATTTTTTCTATAGATTTTAATGGCTTTCACAAAAAAATTAATTTAAAATCGTATTTCATATAAAAGTTATTAAAACTTCAAATTTTTGGCCGGTTTGATTGACACATCCTTGTACTTTCATAAAATTTTAACTTTATTCTTAATCCTTAGGAAAAGTGGCAATCTTGTTAAGAGTCAAAATTAGCAAGCATCGAGCATTGAATGGAAAGTAAAAATTTTATTTTTTCAAAAGCTTTTGGTATATGAAAGATTTTGTCTTACCTAATGCTAAAACACGATTAAAATTTTTTTTTCGAACGTATGAAGGGACTGGTATCCAAGGAAATTCATTTCCTTAGCAACGGGTTCATAAATCCATATGAAAATCAATGATTTTTAGACATTTTTCCTACGAATATTTTTTCTGAACGTGATAAGATAAGGTATTTTGGTTACCTTATTTGTTAAAAGATGGAAAACTTTATTCTCCAAAAATAGGAAAAACAAAATTTCTGTAGTGATATTGTTGCCATGACAACGGGAAAAGAACATGGCGTCAATGCTTATTAATTTTGAAAAAAGTTACATATGTTTATCACTTTATTCAGAAAATCTACAACCACTGCTGGAAAAATGAATGGTATGATCTTGTTAGGGGTTACTAGTATATATATGTCATATCTATACAATATACAAGTTTGCAGGCAACTTTAGCAGACAAAAGTTACAAATGATTAGAATGTGTGAAAATCTGGCATTTATAAGCTTTTTTGAAGGGGTGGGGGTAATTTGAATACATGTTCAGTGTCCATTATATTGGCCATATTGGTACTGATCAAAGCATACTCATAAATTTACTATTGTTAATAAATAAATGCACATTCAATTTCAAAAGGAATTTTATATTCCTCACAAACGAAACTTGGAAAAAAAGGGGGGGGGGGTTAGGAATCACCTTGTTCACCGATCCATATGTATGTAAAATTTTGACTTGTCCATAACATTTCAATGAGGTGCCACTGAAAGTTCATACTTGATATTAAGATTGCTTGCGATCGAGAGATGTGTCAAAAACTTGACTCAAGGTCACTTGAACAAGTTCAAGGTCATTGGTAGAAGAAAAGTGCAACCTTTGCCCATTCTGTAACATTCTAATGAAAAGACTTGATTTCATTTTGGGAATTATTTTTAAGCTGTAGGTTTGTCATTACCTTGACCAAAATTCATTCGAACATGTTTGCCCTTGACTCAAGGACATAGCTTTTTCAAGGTCACTGCAATAAAAGTGTACTTATATGAATTTGGCACATTTACATATTTAACTTCGAATGAAGGGAAATCGGAAGTTTGTGCTCAACACAACGGTTTTACTACCTATGACTTGAGTATTTGTCAAAGTCATTTTGGTATGTATATCTGCACTACCAAAATTTTACAAGGTTTCAAATTAGTATTTAGACCTTTTTTTGTAATAAAAAACATTTAATGCAATAGCAGGAGGGTTGGTATCATTTTATTAGCTTGCTCACAATAATTCTTGTTTATGAAAGAGAGTCACTATGACAGCTCACATAATTATAAAGTAAAACTATGTCAATCAGGCTTATAGCATCAGGTTTGGGTTGGGTAGGGGGATGACATCCCCCACCCAACTTTTTTCTCAACGTACCCTAATGTTTAACCACACCCCCTCCCGAGTTTGTCCGTTTGTCCTTCCGTCCGTCCGTCTTTCTGTCTGTCTGGAACGCCTTCGTTTCCACACGATATCTCGAGAACCCTCTGAGCTTTTGCAATGAAATTTAGCATAGCAACAGTTACTCCCTATGGACTAAATAAGAACCCTATTGATTTTGTGGTCAAAAAGTCAAAGGTCAAGGTCATAAATAAACGAATTCTGTCTGTTATAACACTTTCCCTTCCACACAGTATCTCTAGAACCATTTGAGCTATTGCAATGAAATTTAACATAGCAACTCCCCGTGGCCTTATGAAGACCCCTATTGATTTTGAGGTCAAAAGGTCAAAGTTAAAGGTCGTAAATTTATACATTCTCTCTGTGTGTAACACTATCATTTTCGGGAGATGTTTCAAGAAGATTTTGAGCTTATGCAATGTATTTTATACCAAAACTCCCTAGGACCTCTTGCAAAGTGTCCCGCCCCGTTTGTTTTATTAGTATTTATAGAATTACATGTCGCTATTTTTAGCACAGGGGCATGAGGAGAGTTATTGCGTATAAAACAGGTTCTCGGCAGAATTTATATTCCTATCACATCTACCAGAACTGTTTAATAAAGTTTGAATTAGACACCATGTTTTGTGTAAATTTTTGACGATATCAAACGTGAATATACACATGTATGTGACTTCATATTTGCATATATATACATGTAATTGTCGAAATTGTACAGCAGTTCTATGGCGCAGTGGTATGTCTCCTGCTTCACATGCGAGAGGTCACGGGCTCGATTCTCTGACGATCATTTTTTTCTTTTCCGAGATTCTTTTTTTTACTAAATGATAGTATTCAGCAAGTGAAATGAGATAAATTATGAGGTCTAGCTTGTAAAAACTCATAAAATCATGCATCATTACGTTGTGATAAATATTTCACATAAAAAGAATCTTCTATACACATGATTAAATCATTATATCAGTATTGACTTTTTTTTTGCTTCAGTATACACGTATACATTTAAAAATTCTACAAATTCAATAAGGGGGATCCGACCCCCCCTCCCCCCCCCCCCCGCCCCGAATTGCGCATGGTTTACTTTTTCCCTAAGCGGGGGGCACAAATTCTCTGAATTACAGTCACGTGCAAAAAGTATTCGGTCAAAAATGGCGGCGTGTTTACACTTACCATGGTATTAAAAAAAGAAAATGACCTTGCCCTCTTGATATCAAATCACAGGAAGTAGATTTGTATAAATTTAGAAAAATTAGTCACATGATAAATCACGTGACATTTACAAATTTAGAGCAATTATAGCAAGAGTATGGGTCGGAAAGGAAAAGAAAAGATGTGAAAAACATCATCGTGGAGTTAATGCAGAAAGGTTATTCTCGGAGAAAGATAAGTGAAATGTTACAGTTACCTAAATCAACAGTTATAGATGTTTGTAGAAAATTTTGTGACACGGGATCTGTTGAAAACAAACCCAGAAGCGGCCGACCTCCAAAAATCGGGCCCCGTGACTATTGGAAGTTAGAGAGGATTGTGAAAACAAATCGTAGATGTTCACTTTCTGATATAACCGCAAAATTTAACGAGGAAAGACCAGAACGAGTTAGTAAAAGGACAGTACAGCATAATTTGCACAAACATAACTACCGGAGAAGTGTTTCTAAGAAGAAACTGGTTATTAAAGAGGTGAATCGTAAGAAGCGGCTTGCTTGGTGTCGGGGGAAAAGACGATGGTCAGTAGAGGACTGGAAGCGTGTGATTTTTTCAGATGAGAGTAAAATTGTAATGGGTCATGATGAAAGGATAAGAATTTGGAGAAAAAAGGACGAAGGATGGAGGCCGGACCTTGTTCAGCAGAGGACTTCTCAAGCGAAATACGAAGTTATGATATGGGGGTGCATTTGCAGGGAGGGTGTTGGAACTATGACGCCAGTAGAAGGAAATATCAATGCTGCTAAATACCAAGATATATTAGAGGAAAACCTATGGCCTGTTCTCGCAAGACATTTCCCTCAAAATGGCTATTATTTTCAGGATGACAACGCACCCGTCCACCGAGCCAGGTCAACTCAAGAGTATGTAGCTAGAAATCGAATTAACTGTTTAAGTTGGCCTGCTCAATCACCAGACTTGAATATAATAGAGAATGTTTGGTTACACATAAAAAGAAAACTTCAGTCACGCACTGCTGCAATAAAATCGAAAGACAATTTGATCGAGGAAATTCGGCGCATATGGACCAGTATCACGCCTGCTTACATTAAAAGCTTGTATGGCTTATTCCAAAGCGGATTCTAAATGTAATCAGACTCAAAGGACACCTTACGAAGTATTAAATCGTAAGTAGTTGATTATTTTAATTTTCAAAGCATTTTCGTTGAAAATTTAGCTTGTAGATTTTTTCATACTACCGTTGTCAGTGTAAACACGCCGCCATTTTGACCGAATACTTTTTGCACGTGTCTGTAG